TCTCTCTCTCTCTCTCTCTCCCTCCTTCCCTCCCTCCCTCCCTCCCTCCCTCCCTCCCTCTTTTGAGTTACATGGTTTCTGTGGAAATTTAGCAATGCACGGTTACATCTCTTTGCCTAGTGGGTAGGGAATGTTAGAATTACGAATTTTGAGAAAACTCTTTCTGTCCCAGGCGTCCCTTGCTGAGACATTTTGGGAAATATTTTGTGTTGACACTTTCTCCAAATAACTGCATTCTTGTCGCTGCACAAAAGCATGAAATGATTGAGAAGCAAAGTTTGTTTGCCAAACAGGCAGTAGATCAGCCCCAGAGAAAGGGCGCAGATCCGAGCGCTCACGGAAAGCAATCTCCCATCTGTTAACTAGATGGAAACGCTGAAAGCCTCCTCCCCTCTCCTGTGCTCCCTGCAGACACGGTGCTTTCAAGGAGGTATGCAAACTTTGGACTCAACCTTTACAATAACGTTAATAATCAAAAGGAAATAAAAACATCCAAAGCGAATTCCATGTACCCCAACATTTTACTGAAGATTAAAGCACAATCAACTAAAGCCGACAGTGGGGTACCAGGGTGGACCGGGTTATAGAGACAGCAACTGCGGCGCCTCCAGCCTCTCAAGACTCCACAAACAGGTCAGGAAGGATGCCCCAGGCACTCCAACTCTCCACCTGTCTTTGCCACAGCGGAAGCCGCCACCTGGGCACAGGCAGGGCAGCGCCCCCGAGCGCTGTGCCTCAGGAAAGCCCTGGGGGCCCTGCCCACACCCCGGCAGTGGCCCGACCTTGGCCACCAGGGCTTTGCTCCACAAGGGGGAGTACCACCCCACCCCGGTTGCCAGGATGCACACGGCAAGACTCCTGCGCCGGCGCCACCAGCCTCCTGCATCCTGCTCCCAGGTGGGCACTTACACTGGCACTTGCCCCTGCGAGTGCGAAGGAGACACGGACCCTTTGGATGACGAAGGAGCCGTGCAACCCACCGCAGTCTCGGCCAGGGGATAGCGCAGTGATCTCAGCCGCGCTCCAGGCGCACACAAGCGCGCTCACCGACACGCTCACGCGCGTACACACACACACACACACACACACACACACACGCGCGTGCACGCACTCACACACACGCACACACACACACACACACACACACACACACACACACACACGCGTGCGCGCACTCAGTCACATGCACACACCCTACTCTCTCGCTATGAGCTCCAAGCAACCCAAAGATACAATTCTTGGCTTCCACAGCCCGGGCCTGGGATTCCCAGGGCTCAGGGGGCGCTCTGGCCCCTGCGGTGGCCCCTCCAGGCTCGAGGGGCGCCAGGGACTTCGTAGCCCTTGCCCTGTTGGCGCAGGCTCTGTGAGAGCTGTCCCAGCCCCTGACCTGCCCCTCCCCTCTCTTGCTCCGGCCCCAGCACAGCGCCTTGGCCCACCCGCGTGGGGGCGGAATCTGCCAGCCACACACGTGTGCGGATTCTTAAGCAGCCCAGGCAGGGCGGCTGGCATCTGCACGCAGCCACCCCTGCTAATAGCGGGGGGAAGGGTGCTGGGAGCGCACGGAACCGCGGGGAACCGAGACTGAGCTAGGAGGCTGGACGGAGCGGGGGGCCCAGATGGCCTCTGAGCGCAGGGGAAGGGGTGGGAAGTTGGCGGAGTTGCTTAGCAGGTGTTTCCTCTCCGCACAGGGGCCTGGCTGGGCATCGCCTGGTCCTGTCCTCAGGCCCCTGCCCGGAGGACCCACCACAGAGGGGCAGACACATCCCAGGAGCAGCCCTCCTTGCCCCAGTGTTCTAGCTTCTGGCCTCTGCGTTCTCAGTGCATTGAGCCCTGAGGCCGCTGCCCGCCTGCCTTGGCGGTGCCTCCAAGCTGGCTCCACAAGGTGCCCAAGGTGTGTGGACCCAGCAGGAGTGTGGCAGGAGGGCGGATGTAGGCGGGTAGCTTTCCAATCCCCAGGGACCAAGGGCCCCTGAGATTAACAGGAGCCCTTTGCGCTCTCTGGCATCATGGGGCGCATTTCCACAGACACCCCTTTGTGAGGGTGAGAGCTCCCATGGAGGGACTTGTTCCTAGGGGTCAGCTCTCAACCAGCCCTGGGCGCACAGTGGAGCAGAGCAACCCAGAGGGGAGCCCTACGCTGCGTTCTCTCCAGCTCTCCCCAGGCCGGGCCCACTGGAGTTTCCTAATGGAGCCAGAAAGAGCCCTCCTTCGCCTTGTCAATCACCCTTGAATCTGGAACACTGAAGGAATAGAAAATGGGTGAACAAGAAGATGGAAGAATCTCCAGAGGAAAGGGGAATTTTACGTGGGGAAAGAGCAAAGATAATTAAAAGAAAGGAGAAAAAACAAAACAAAACAAAAAAACCCCTGCAAGATTTGATTCCATCCGTTAAAAAGGAACACAGAAAAAAAATCTATGTGGATATAGATAGTCCCAGGAGTAAGACGCCGGGTGCAGACTGATAGGGGGGGCATCCCAGAAGGCCACCATGAGGGAATGGGGCAGGCACTCCCCAACATGAAATGTGATCAATGTTCTCTCTCTCTCTCTCTCTCTCTCTCTCTCTCTCTCTCTCTCTCCCTCTCCCTCCCTCTCTCTCTCTCTCTCTCAGAATCAAGAGGGAGCTTGTTTGCTTTCCCAGAGAATAGACAAGTGCAGCAGTTCCTGCCAGCCCCGAGGCTGCAGCCTGTAGGCGACTTAGAGGAAACCATTCCCGAACTCATTTCAAGGAGAAAACCAAGTTCACAGAGCGCGGTGACCCAGGGAGGCCGCTGGCCCTGACCGGCGTTAGCAAACGGGCACAGCCCTGCGACCACAGCGAATACACCTGCGGCGGAATCCCCGCCAGGTCTCCCTGCTCCCTGCACGCACCTCGCCAGCCCCTTCCAACTTGCAAAGAGCCAAGCGCGGGGAGGCGAAGGCGGGGGCGACCTCACCCAGGCAGCTCCCCATCACTCCGTGAGGAGGATGGAGGGGGCGCCGGCAGGCACATTTGCCGCTTGGTACCCCAAATCCCTAGGGAGTCCGAACTTCGCCCGGGCCACTTTCCCAGCTGCTCCGGGTCCAGGAGCAGGTCCCGGGCACCACCCCCAGCCACCCCGACCCGCCGTGCCCACGTCTCCATGGAGGCACTGCTGCTGCCACCGCCGCGCTGGTTCAGCCCCACTCGGGTTTGGCTCTGTTCTTCCTAACAACCCACACCACAGAGAAAAGAGGCATTTCGTGTCCGCCCAAGTGAGGGGACGGAGAGGCGGGGGGGGGGCGGGGGCGAGGGTCAGCAGGGGTGCCACGGACGCCCGGCTCCCGGGCGCTGCCGTCCCCAAGCGTCCGCGATGGACCGCCGCCCGCAGCCGCCCTCCTCCGAACAGACCCCCGCGTCCGCCCGCGGGCCTCGGAGGGTTCGCGCATCCCCCCGTCGCCACAGCCTCCTTACCCTTCGCTGCGGCGAGGAGCCCCGCGCAGACCGCCAGCAGCGCCAGGGGCCGGAGCCGCGGCTCGGGCTCGCTCCGCGCAGTCATGTCTGCAGATATTCCACACGCGCACACGACCGCGATGGCTCTCCCGTCTCCTCCGAGGCGCCGCCGGGCTACGGACAGAGCCGAGTAATCAGCAGAGGGCGAGGCGAGCTGGAGAGAAAGCCCGGTCCCCAGAGCGGCCGCGCGTCCGACGCCTGCTGCGGGTCTGCGCGCCCGGCTCGCTCGCCTCTCATAGCATCGGTCCGGGTCCCGAGCCACTGCAGGGCTGCGCTGCTGCGAGCGCCGACGCGGGGCCGCCGGGCTGCCGGGCCGCCGGCCGAGCCGGGCAGGGAGGCTCCGAGCCGCGGGGCTGCGGGAGGGGCGAGGCGGGCGGAGGAGCGCGCAGCCCGGAGAGCCCGGAGCCCGGAGTGGAGGCAGCTGGAGAGAGCGCCAGCGAGTGGGAGCGCGGGCGGCGGGGAGGGCGCGGGGGGAGGAGAGCCGGTCTAGAGCGGCAAGGCGGGGAGCTCGGGAGACGGGCTGCGGGCTCCCGAGGAGCCTCTGCCGCCGCGGCTGGACTCAACCATCCCTACCCACGGAGAGGGGAAGGGAGCCGGCTCGGCGCACCCACCCCGGCCAGCCTCGGCCGCCGGCCCCCGCGCTGCGCTGCGCTCCGCTCGCCCCCTCCGCTCCCCCCCCAGCAGCGAGCAGGCTGGAGAAAGGAGACTTGTTGGGCGCTCGGGTGGGGACTCCACGCCACACCCCGGGTGGGGCCAAGGCACTGGGGCAACTCCAGCCAACTAGAGGGCTCTGCCTGGCAGGGCTGGCCTCCATCTCCTGATCTCTGCTTAGAGGCTGACCTGAGAGAAGCCCCCTGCCTAACTTGGAACAAGAAATGCAGCTGGAAGGGGAGCCCACACAAGCTGTAACTCCAAGGAAGCAACAGAACACATTATTATTATTATTATTATTATTATTATTATTATTATTAATTATTATTATTACTATTAGACATCATGTCTGGCACGATGACTATTTGCAAGGCGTTACAATGATTTTCCTAGTTCCTGACTTAGGCTGTGGTGGGGTTATCCAAGCACAGACACGTTCAGATTGAATTCAAAATTAGGAAGAGCATCTAGAATGGATAGTGTGGTCTGGTCATGAGAGATGACATGTTGGTACACTTGTTACCTGCGACTCTATAAAAGTCAACGGGTGAGGGAGGGACTTGGAAAGACACAGGGCTCTCTGTGCAGGGTGAAGCCAGCACAGACTGAGCGGAGCTCCAGGACCACAGCAGTTGGTAGAATAAACCAGACTTCCCCCAGCTCCCCAAATAGAGGAGATACCCCTGCTCTCTCTGAGGAGCAAGGGAAGGCAAGGCACTTGACCCGGAAGCTGGTAAATTCCTAGAAAAACAGGAACCATAAGTGAGTGCGGTTTTCACAGAGGATTCCTCACTCTCGACCAAATGGATTTAGGTAACTCCATTAGAGGATGGAGGAGGAGACATGATAAACCCAGAATTAAGCAAGGAAGGTGTGCACCTGACGTCCAGAAACACTGTGTCAGCCACGCCATTGGGTGATTTGGGGGGAACAGAGGCCCCGTTTCGGGCAACGGTCAAGGCGCTGCACTCCACCTGCCTTTTGTCTCAGTCTTCACCATTAAATAGGTTGACAATGTCACAATGTTTTATTCCCTTGTCTTATTTTTCTGAGACTCCCTTTGCCCCAGTGGTCTCTAGGCTACACAAGAATATGGTGACGAATCCAGAAAAAGAAGGGCGACAGTCTTGAAATGTAAGCAGCACAGCCTCATTTCCGTAGCCTCCTTACAGCCCAGCAGGGCCAACTGGAGCACCATCAGACTTATCTCTCTCTCGAGACAGGAGCTTGTAAATACGAGAGGCCCAATCTGCTTCTCTGAAGGTTGCAGTCGTAGATAAGACCTGGCTTTTCCACATGCAGAGTGCTATTTTGCCTCGGTTATCTCTGGAGGAAGAAGAAGAAGACAGAATGGCTGGATCGTGGGGGCGTTCCCCGCGGGGTCCACGGATTCTACTCAGTAGGCTGAAGCAGGCATGTGGAAAGCCGGGCACCCCCTCTGTGATTTTAAATAAGACCCCAGATGGTACCTGTAACTCAGCAAGTGAACAAAAATGCCTTTTAAGACCCATTAAGTGCTCCAATAGTTCATTTCAAGCTCCTCATCAGAAAAAAAAAATTGATCCCTTTTAGGAGCTGGCTTCTCCTTGAGAAACGGTGTCTTGTCTTTGCACTGCTCTTCCTAATGACTCGTGTCACCAAGAAGGATTTCTGCCATTAAAAAGCGTTTCCAAAACCTAACCATCCCGGGCTAGGACTCACAGATGAGTTTTACTCTATTAGGACCCCAGTCAGCATCGCTGAATGTCACCTGCGATCCTGAACACCTTTACTCATGGTCGTGGCAGCCTCCAGGCCACAGGCTGAACTACACCTTCCTTGGGTTAAAGTCTTCAATGCCACCTCCTTTCCCTGCTGTGCAAAATAAACTCCATCTGATTCCCATCTGTGAGTGAAAAATGACCCCTAATAACCAGCAATTACCCGTTTTTGCGATTATTTATATGGGGCATTTTCTCAGTCCGGATCTCCTATCAGAGTTACCATGATGTATGTCACGCTGTTTCTTCATTGGGCGTCTGCACAGGGTGAGAGGTGGCTGTCAGGTGAGATAGGCTGCTTTTGGAATATGGTTGTATTTAGGTGTTAATATTGCGATATTTTTCCCCCAAGATCTCAGGGCCTGTGTTAATTTAGAAGGAAAGGATGTGTCACTGCTGCCATCTAGTGTCCAAGTTTTCCTGTTGGGCGTTTGCAGAGAAATCTGGCGTCCCTTGGTCTTCCTCTCATGCAGCCTGAGGTTCCCTGCTGCCTTCTGAAGGCCCCTCCCGCACACCTGTGGACCCTCTGTGTAGCCAGGCTGTACATAAATCATATGGTCAGGTTCCCAGAGGCTCCCCACCGCCCTCCACCTGGGATGTTTAAATGAATGTGAAAGCCTTGATTTCTATCGCAATTCTAATGCCAGCTAATTAGAGATCTACTAGCCAACCGGGATGCCAGTAGGTGCGGTGCTGTGGGCAGCTCCCACGAGCAGCTCCGTGACCTCCTGTGGGCACCGGCCCAAGCTGCCTGTGGCAATGAGCCCCCACACTGGGTTTTATTGCTCTACTTCCCATCCTGGGCATAGGCTGCCTGCAACCGCGGAGCTTGGCTCAGCTGCATTTGGAACATCACTGGCGCTCAGGAAGGCGAGGTGAGCAGGTGGGATGAACAGGGAGAGAAAGACTGACATACCGGGCAGTACGCACATCCCTGAAAGCACGTAAGGACCAGGACGTCCTCTAACAGCTAACATAAGCGGAGAGATGGCAACATGGACATTGGAAAGTATTGTATCTAAAGAACAGAGTGGTTTTATGTCACGTGAAATTGTCTGTGGAGGGGCCAGAAAATATGAACAGCATACTTGAGATGAAATTGGAAATGAAAAACTTTGCACAGCAGAGGATGCTAATAACCTAGAAACACTGTGCATATGTGAACATCTTAGGGAATGTAGTATGTGCCGTGACTGCTAAGTGGACATTGTTTGGCTTGTTTAATGTCATACACTTAGAAGTTGATGGCGTCCAGAGAGTTGGGGAAATTCTTTTTTTAATAGAGGGGTTGGTATTACGGCCACATGCTTTGCGTCCCCCCAAATACAATGCCCATCTTGGAAGAACAGGAAGCATGAGGGAGGGTAAGGAATCAAAGTAGAAGTCAGGATGAGCACAGAATCATCACTTACTGTTTACAATAACCTCAGTTATCTCATGTTGCTGTCATGACCATCCCCCCTCCCAAGATGAGGAATGGGGGCTTTAAGCAGTCAAGAGGCCTGGGGGAGGTCAGACGGGGCCCCACTCAGGCTTTTCTTGCATCTGCATTTAAAGCCCTTTCCCGCCCCACGAGGAGCTCACAGGCCTGGCCTCCAGGGTTCCCCGCCACACTGACCTCCAGGGGTGCTTCACCAAGAAGAGAGAGTCCGACATGGATAGAGCACTGCGCGCCATGGCTGCAGGATTAACATTCTTTCCAGGTACACCTTCTCCAGGACAGACCATTTGCCAGGCCTTCCAGACACAAAGGATCCTGCGACTATTTGTGACTACTTATTTATGTAAACGCAGAGCTCGAAAATGTTCCCCACTGACTGGCTTTATAATCAGCTGAACACTCGTCCGTGTTTCTCTAATAAAGCAGCGCCTTTAACTGTGTATACTTATGTGTGCATGGAGAGAACATCTCCTTTTGTTAACGACTTAGAAACAGAAGGCAGGAGTGGCGTAAAGAGCAAGGACAGCAGGATGTGTCAACTTGACTTGGAGCAGCAGGAAAGCCATGTCGCACACGCCCCCCGGCCCGGAGGGGAACGCTGCGACTTCTCTCCGGTTGTGCATGGGTGGTAAATGAGCGGGCACAGGCTGCAGGCGTCCGTGAGCATCTGAGTGATATGAAGGCCTGAGGAAGTGCAGGCTGCAGACCCCAACCCAGAGTCCCTGAGTCAACATGGCTGATGGTGCCCGAGAACTCACATTCCTAACAAGCTCTGGGCCACGCAGGTGCATCCCAGAACATTGTTTGAAAACCGCTGCGTGGGGCCGGCTTGTCTCTGAGGTCAATGTAAGCACTTGAAACCCTATATCTGACACTTTCTAAACAAAGGACCTTAAAAAAATCTAATCTTAGCATAAGTTTGCGCACCTGACATGTGGAAAATGACATTTACCTCATAGACCTGTGGGAAAAATCGACAATGTAAGCATAATGGCTGATATATAGTAAATTCTTCAAAATATCATTTTCCTTTTCTATCGTCAATTCCGAAGGAGGAGAGAAGAAAATGAATGACCCAGATGGAGAAAGGCTTTCCCATCTGTTCTGGTCTATAATTTGAGTAGCAAACTGGATCAGGGTAAGAAAAAGCAACACCCTGGGTCAGTGTCTCGCACACTGTCTCCGGGTGAACCCGGCCGGGATCCATGTGGGGAACCCCAGGTCTTCCTGACCATGACTTTCACCATCAGCTTGAGGGGCTGCCTGACACCTGGCTCTTCCCCAACGCCTGGAGAACACTAGCGAGCTTGCAAAGCTCAGACTGGAACTAGGTGACGTGACGTGCTCAAAGTCCACGAATAATGCGCCCCTTACACTAAAGCAAACTCCGGGCACAGATGCTTTTAGCAGCTATCAGCACGCGCCAATACTGAGGTCACTGGATCAGTGGGGACAGGCTCGGTCGTTCCTCCTGCACCAACTATCATCGTGACAATAGAAATCCACATGTAGTGACAGCAACATCATGACATGGGTGACTTTTCCTGAGTTTTCCACTGATAACCATTTTCCAATGGGACAAAGTTTGACGTAGTTGCTCAGCTTGATGCTTTGGGAAAAACCATTTCACTTCTGAGACCCAGTTTTCTTATCTATAAAACAGATTTGGGGCTCATGCTTATGCTACCCCTAAAGTTCCATGACTTTTCTTTCTTGTAGTCCTCATTTTTA